GTAATTGAATTATGACACCAGGTCTAGTCCTGCAAACGCCCTCGCCTATAATGCCCCGATACGCATATTTATTTGACAAATCTACGTGCCACATCGAAGGCTCGGTGACTCACCCTCGCGTACACAACACACGCACGTAATACAAGTACACACGTTGCCCCACAAAATCGAAGGAGGTTTCGAAGGAAGACAGAGACTCTGCGGTGGATATTTGTGTACATCCGAGATCGATATCCGCTGCTGGAAAAATATATATGTGCATTCTGGATTACTTATGTACACCGCGTCTGAAATTGAGATGTTTTCGGCCGAGGCGAAAATCCTACATCCACAGCGGAATTAATCAGGATATATATCGTATTATTGAAACAACAACAGCAGAAGACACAACGATTTGTAGTACTTCATCTTTGCTATCAAACGCTCGGTCTTAGAATTTTGTGTTTTTCTCTCTTGCGCTTCTATTTGTATCCGTAAACACACACACGCGCACACGTGTACAAAGAAAGATACACAAGTGTCAAACGCATACACATACACGAAAGAGAGATGACACTGCGCACGGGGCGCTTTTTCTTAGATTCGCTTTTTGATTTTTCCTTTTTTTCTTTCTTTCTTTGCCATTGTGCACGCGAAGGTACGTATATACGTCTGCTCTACTTCCGTCGTCTCATTTCTTTGCTCGCTTCGATGTCCCTTACGCTTTCTCGCGATGTCTCCTTTTTTTTTGACTTGTGCGCGCATGTGAGTATGTGTATATGTGTGTGGACTGTCGTTCTCGCTGCAGGATAGCGAGAGCTTCTATGGATTCGCTTCGTTCAATGTTTATGCGTGCGTATATGTATACTTGTTATGTGCACACTTGCAAGAAAAGAAAAAGACGGAGAAAGGGAAATAAGTCGAATCGCGAGTGCAGTTGAGCGAGACGACGGATGCGTGCATTTTTTTCATTTGCTCTGGACATTTATAATTATTCTCCGGACTGGGACAAAGTCGCGCACATATAATGCTCGTCGCGTTCCTACGCATGTAAAACCTTATAATGCGCGAGATAACATCTTACTCGGCCGACAGTAGCGGCGTATGTGTATATAGTGGCAATTTTTGTACGACGACCAAGAGATCAGATGCGAACTAATTCCAAAAGTGTCGTGCGCTTACCTACTCGGGTACCCCGCGTGCAGAGAGCCGGGAGACAACAGTATTTCGTTCATTAAGCCGACCAACCGAAATGCCGGATTACCCACACACACGCGTCCACATCCACATCCACATGCGCGGTGTATGTAGCCCGCAAAATGAGACGAGAAAATATTATAAGAGCGAGAGAGCCGGATAAAGCCTAAAACTGAGAACGAGATTAAAAGTTTACTTATGCTCCCGCAGCAGAGCTGCTCGCGAGGACGAGTACGTAAAAAATAATTAGCATACATAACGAGCACTGAAACGCGACACCAGCAGCGATTTTATTCGAGGGGCCTTATATTCTTATTCCCGAATCAGCGTCGTCATCGTGCACGAGAGAGAAAAACATAGTCGACTGCACTATAATCGCCGCGATCCATCTGTTTCACGTAGTAGGTGTCGGTCTTTCATTTTTTGCGTTTGTTTTTTTTTCTTTATTTTGAAGATGGTTTTGAGTTTCCGCGCGGGCAAGTACGACGGTAAACGGAGACGTTCCCCATGGACGCATTTTTATGTGACGCGTAGATGCGACTTGGCTTTTTACATTATTTTTTGTTTTTATATTTTCCGACACTCGTCGGAGAGATCGGAACAAGTACAACGGGGGATCGATCAAGGCCCGAGCGGAAAGAATACTTGGCAGAATCTTGCGGAAGTAATGAGTATCAGAAAACATTGCCGAAATGATGAAACGAAAAAATCAAATAAACTCACCCGCGAGTCCCTTGTGCGATAGAAAAAATAGACGCGACGGCTTTCACTTGGAGCAAAAAAAAATCGAAGCAACTTGTCTTAGCCAAATATGCGTAATGTACATAAGCGTTTAGTCATGTTCGTAGATGATAGACTCCATCAATTTTATTAAGAGGCTAGCTTATATAGAGATGGAAAAAGAGACGAAGAGCAAAAAGTGAGAGAACATGTGAAAAATGATACGGGATTATTAGAAATAGATTGCGAGCAGCTCAGTAAGATTAGACAAAAAGGTTTTTTTTCTTTTATTTGCATAATCCTTCGACACAGGCGCTTGACTTATCCATTAAGCTGTCGTTGCCTAGCTTTGTCATTAACGTCGAAAACAGTTTCGATGCGAGCCCGATGAAAATTGAAAGTTGAGTGCACGCGAACTCTATGAGGAGCAGCAGACGACGAACAAATAACGCATATGAACAAAACACATTCTATATGATGGACGACTGAATCAAACCGAGCGTTTATCGTTGTTGTTTTCACGCGTCGACGGAAATTGCGCACATGGCAAAGCAGAGCAGAGATAGAGAGAGAGAAAAAGGAAGCCAAAAAACGAGTTGTCCCGATACGCGAACGAGTCGGACGCATCGATACGATTGCTCGTCGGAGGTTGATTTTCTCGTACATGTTACACTTATAATGGCGCATTGACGACTATTAAGGTGGCGAGGCACGTATTTATGTCTAATAAGCGCAAAGAAAAGCTTCTCTAGGTTGGTTTTACGAGTCGGACAAAGCCCGTAGAAATATTACACCGAGCGTGCATACATACACGGAAAGACAGAGCACATGCAGCCTTCTAAAAAGCTGCTGCTGCAGTCGAAAACGACGACGACGCGAGGTCGACTATAGGACGACCTAGAAATGCAGCGAGGCGCTAATAACGCCCGCGAATGTGTGCCTACGACACGTACACACGCTCTCGGGCGTATTGGCAATTTATGCAAATGCCATCGCAATTGCAAATCCAGCATGTTATTTACGAGGATAGACGACGGCTCTCGGACCAAAGCAACGAAAAAAAAGCAGATACTTTTTTTTCGTTAGCCCCCGCGCGCGCCGCCCGACTTGAACTTTTTCTTTCTTTCCCTTTATCGCGGCGCTCCATTTTTCGCGATGCACTAGTTTAAGAACTAAATACACACACACACACAAAAACACAAGCGGATTTTTGTTACACTCTGACACGCGAACCAGTTGTTTTAGTTTTGGTGCAGCAGACACACAATCAAATGATGGAGTGTCGAGGTGCTTTTTTTCACACGAAAAACCTTACGGCAGTGCCCATCGATGTCAATCAGTTGACGCATTTAGCGAATCGTCACCGTTGAATTGTATTCACTTTGCTCGTTGTTCGGAGCACTCGCGAGTTACGAAGAATCGTGTATTCACGAAAAAAAAACTGCGTGTCAACGATCAGCATCGATGTAAGATTTTCCGTGGAATAGCGTGCGGAAGCCTAACTACCATGGATGCGGTTATTACACACATGTTTTACAATGTAGGAAGTTGTTTTATTCATAAAGATGTTCAGCTGTATCAACGCGAATGTCAATAGCTCCCCAGAGTTAGTATGATGTGTGCGTTAAAAATGAGGTGCGGATTGATATGCGGCGGAAAAGCTGAGCTGCAGCTACATCGGCATGTGTGCGCGTTATTTTGTTTTCTTCGCGTGTGTCATGAAAATTTGAATTCAAAATCTCTCTTTTCTGCTCCCTCGGCGCGTTGGATAAACAAAACAACAACGACAATAAAAATACTCCGTAAAGTATACGCGTGTAATGCAGTCTATTTCACTAAAAACATGTATTTATCCGGAGTCCCGAGGGCCGCTATGTATGCGACTATGCGTGCTTATGTTGTGTGTGTATCATAAACTCCGTTTCGCGTCGATGCTACTCGTGACACATTCCGCTTGTCCCTTCGATTCAAGGAATCACTCGTCGCGATGATTTTGTATATAAATAGACGCACGAATACGACTGGCATTATCATCCACGCTGAGCACTGCAGGTATAGGTATAGGTGTAATGAAAATCGGAGCACACCCGGAATGTTGTCGCACGATAATGTGGGAGCATAAAAACGACGCGAGACATAAACAAAACAGCCACTACGGGGGAGCACTATACGAATTCGAATTTTCGAACTTGCGAAGCTACGCGTGTGTCCGATGTGTCTGTTAGTGAGTGAGTGTGTGTGTGTGTGTTTACACAAAACGGCTAGACGGTGTAGGCGCCAGTAGCACTACAGGTACATGTCAGTAATACAGGCGCAGCTTAGCAGCGACACTCAAACGATGCTCCACATTAGAAGCGGAAAATGTGAGTCGGTTGTGTGATTGTACATTATAATGGCATTGTTATTGAGGGTTGATTGGGGGTGGTTTTGCTTTGGATCACAGGCTGGTGTACTTGCAGAGCGCATGTATTTGGTGTTGTGAAATACTTGCGGTTGTGCTCTAACCTTCTCTCTGTACGTAATAACGAACTTCGTACTCCCGCTCCCTCATATGGACGAGAGGAGATATGTACTTGGTGCGGTAGAGTGACAACTGACTGACTGACTGACTGACTGACACGGGTGCTTTTAGGCTATAGAACGAACTTTTTTTATTTATTTATTTTTTTTAATTTTTCGTCGAGCGCTGATCGCTTATTAAAACGATATATTGGTGTATTGGTCGCGCACTCAACTCACTCCTGTACGATCGATTCTCGTTGATTATTCATTTATTTATGATCATCGGTCGTATCGATATATATTTCGATGCACAAAATATAGAACTAAGAACAAAACAACGGAGCGCGCGCGAGAGCAACTGTCTCGCGCTTATTTCTTTTATTTTTTTTTAAACTGACCCCGTCCTCATGTCACACAGAGATCGTCGACGCACACAACAACAAAAGAAGCAGCACCCCGAACCATGTGTATCAACGAACTATTTTTTATGTATGAACTATTATACGATGGGCACGCAGATGAAGGCGCGAAGAGGTGTGTATGAAGAGGTGAATTTTTTTGATAGATGTGCACAGTTCATGCGAACCGTAGGGGATGACTACCTCGTCCAGCGCCGTAGCAATAGGTGTACTCGTTGTAGTCCATGCTCGGTCGCTTGAGCAGAGCCTCGCCGGGTGGCACCAGGTCCAGCAGTACTCCAGCGCTGCTCTGCTGCTGTTGCTGTTGCTGCTGCTGCAAGCTGCCGAAGTGATGCTGCTGCAGGTGTATGTGATGCAAATGATGCGGCGCGTGCAGATCGTCTTCTCGTGGATCACACATTTGTGCTGGCTGTGATTTAGATACTCTTTTTTCACAACAAAATATACATATAACAACTAAATTACTAAGTGGCGTTTTTTGCTCTCTTTAAGCGGGCGAAAAAAACGCTCTTGAACTTTTGTCACGTCATTTGGCGCGACGCTATCATTGGTTAAGAGACGACGTGCTTTGCTTATTGTCGTCGAGCTTAACGTTCTCTCTCAAATGTTAATGCACATCACGGTATATAAGACATGTTGAAATTTATCACAGACACTTGACACTCGCGGTAGAGATAATCGCGCACTTCATGGTTTGACACTCTCGATGCAATAACATGTACTCATGGTAAAAACGGCAATCGGAGCGAGAGCGCGCATACACTCGGACACATGTGTATATGCATGGGGCGCGCACTCGTCTCTCTCTCTCCGTATACGTGTGTTGTGCGCTGCTGCAAAAAGGAGTCGAGGGTTAAAGCAGCGACGTCGCGGGCTTTCGTCGTCGTCGTGACACACACACGCACACACTGTTCTCTTGAGCGCTGTCCGCGATAGACTGACGAGCTGCTCTTGCGGGAGCGAGGAGAGAGCGAGCGCCTCGCGCCGCCGTAGCCGCCGCCGCCGCCGCCACCACCGCCGCTGCCGCACGCGGTCGAGCGCCGTAGCCGTCCTATGCGCTCCGTATACACTATATAACACGTAGCCGCCGCTGCCGTTGTAACTCGTAAGCCGTCGGAGGGGGTACCATACAGCCGAGTAGTGTTCGGAGCGCTGCTGCACCATCATCGCAATTCGCAGTTTACAGTCGTATAAGCGACGCTAGACAAGGCCTCCGATCCATGTATAGATGCGCATATAAGGGGAGGGAGCTCATCAGTCGATTGACTCTATTCCACAGAGTTCAGTTATAATACTTAACTGGCACGATTAGAGTTTTTTTCGATGCTCCGCGTACCGATGCACCGGTCGCCGTAATTGTTTAGGAAAATGTGTCGCGATTACACGAACCAGCTGCAGGACGCAATTTTCCCGACTAGTAACGCTGAAATATGCTGAAATGCCGAATGACAGCTATGTCAAGAGGAGCTCGCGGACTTTAGTCAACAAACATTCAACAACCAAACAACCCCGTTTTTGCGTTTGCGATTGAATCGCTCCAACATCTAAGCAACTACAGCATCGGCTCTTTAAATAACGTCCATCGAGGCAGTAATATCTCGCTCGCTCCGGACAAAATATGCCTCATAAACATCGCGATCGTGTAAAGTCCACTGGTATAATCAAGGGGGAGGGCGGCTGCACACGAGAATCGGTATTTATATGCATAGGATATATCAAAGTACTCGAATCATCTCGTTGCCCGCTGCATCAGATGTAGCTCGCTGTGCGATTTTACGTTACGAGAGCTGCGTTGATCGTCGTTCAATGCACTCTTTAGCTCCGCCAGATCTTATCCCGTATTATAATCCCCGTACTATACGCAGAGAGCTCGGAGCTCTCTCACTGCACGTTACACCGCTATATCTGTATGGAGTGCGGCTCTGGACGGCTCGACAGATGGCGTTAGTCGGCGCATTTCTGCACTTTCAGCGCGAGCCAGTCGTCCCCGAGCTCTCTTCACTCTATATATACCTACTCCCTATATATAGCATGGCTATATAGGCGGTATAGTCGCTCCGTTTCGTTCCACAGCTCACGCATTATTGTATTAGTTGCGTTGCGCGCGGGTAGTTACAGCTACTCGCCCGAGGCAGATATTCTACTGCGACAACGACAACGACGACCTCGAACTGCTCCGCTTTTTTTCTTCCCTCGGTAGCTACGCGCCAGGCCAGGCCAGGCAAGCTGGCTCTCAACCTCTCCCAAGGATTGCCCGTTTATTCTGAATTTTCCCGCAACTAGTACACGGGTCTCGAGCGACGAGCTGGCCTGGAGAAATTATTCTTAGATCGGAGTCGAGCTGCTGCTACCGCTGCTGACCTTTTATTACAGTACATGATTTCCTGAAATATTTCTCGATCAGTAAGAGCGCAGCCCTCTTATAATATTATACGCTCAAAAGGCTGTGGCAGCTCTCGCTCGCAATATCGCATGTATTTTATTATATTTATTTCCCTAACGCAAACTCGACTCGTTCGAGAGAGTTTATGTTGCGCGAGGGAAGAAAATAAAACAAGATATTTTCATACTCTCTCGATCGCGTTGACCAATAGCCATATAATCCCGCAGCGCGAGTATATAACAGCTGACGAGCCACGACGACCTTGCGTGGATGATAAAAAAAAAAAGAGAGAAAATTCTGCCGAGTTCGATAAGCCCAGCCGTTTAGCCAGAGTTCATATTATATGCCTAGCAGGCAGTAGCCTTTAGCCGCGCGCGAAACGATCATTCGTTATCAAGGACTTGCCTAATATATAGGAGAGATCGCTTGCCCGAGGAATCGCCCAGTCAAATACAATAATGTACAGCGTCACGTTGAGCTGCGTATATATGTATGCGCGGCCAATAGGTCGAGCTACACAGGGTACAGGGAGGAAAGCGAAAAAAAAGGAAACCCTCGTCGGACTGCGCATAACTCACTTATCGCGAAATATCTAGGCCAGATCGTGGAGCGAGAGGAGGAGGACATATAATATACACGCCGCTGTTGCTCAGCTGATTTTTCTCTCTCTCTCCGGAATTTACTCGTCAGTCTTAATCCACTTTCGGCGCTCCATACACCAGGACTGGCCAATATGCTGGGCTGTATCTATATAAACTATGCGCGCGTCGAATAACATAAATTTTCGTCCTCGGCGCTATCCAGCGGCTGTGTATTATAAGGGACACCCTCGCGCAGGATATAGGAAAAAACTTTTGCCCTCTTTATTTTATTTTGCTCTCCTCTCTCTCTCGCTCTCTCCTCGCAGCAGCAGTAGTAGCAACAGCAACCACTCCCGCGCACTACCAATAGTCCCCAGTCCCCGTGACGTCTCATACAGATGTACAAAGTTAAATGTGTATATATACGCGCGCGTGTGTGTGTAGTATGGACTGGGCGAGGATCTGATTGCTGCAATATATTCAACGGTCTTATCGTATACACGCGGCGGGGCGAACCGACGCCTGGAATTACCGATATCCCCGAGGCTGCAGTAGCCCTACACATCCCTGGGCTCAACCGTATACCTATATATGCGTGCGAAGCGAGTAAAGAAACATTTCAAAAGTCGAATTTTCCAAAACTTTTTAGAATATACCGGTGCCGAGTACATGTTGTGTATACAACGACCGAACTCTATATACAGTACATGTATTCCGTTTTGTGGAAGATAAATTGGTGAAAAGGTGCGATAGGCGATCTAACTATAACAACTTGCTAGAAATGGCATATATTTGTTTTACTTGACGAGCTTAGCACCGACACGCGTGTTGGTAAACGTGTATACGTAGTATAGGCTGCTCGATCGCGTGCGCGTCGATTTTAATGCGTTTAGAGCGTCGACGCGCGCACACCTTTCGATTTTCATCGATTTAGCTTTATTAGCTTTTAAACGGCTATTTGATTTCACAGATTTTCACGATACACGTACACTCGTGTATCAGCAGCACTTCTCGGACTTGTGTTTCTCGAGATAATCGCTCGTCACACATTTCGGTATGCTCGAATCCATTAGCTCGCTCGCGCTCGTTGTTTTCTTTTTTTTTCTTTTGATTTTTGTTTTTCGTCGACTAATGTAAGCTGCAATTACATATTGAAAAGGCGTGTGCTCGCGAGCAAAGACCGATTACGATTTTTAGGCCGATTAAAATGCAAAGCCATATCAAAAAGTGCGTCACTCTTGTCCGCGCGCAACATTATGCCAGTCGAAAATATCGTCGAATCTACCGTGCGTTAAGACACGAGAGGGACTTTGGGGTATATATAAGCATTATAGTACAATGTATACGAGTTGGCTCGATTTTGATGCGTGCGGCAGCTCTCGACGAATATTTCGTTATTATTTTTGTCACTTTGCACTCAGCAAGCTGAAATCGGGCATACGTTATCGACTTTATGTACGCGTAGCAGCAGCAACATCAACAGCACATATAAGCGCGTTTGTATCGGCTGCGGACGAGAAGAAAAGTGTCGCAAGAGAGAGAGAGAGAGAAAGAGAAAAAAAGAAGAGAGAGGGAGATAAAATTTTAAATCCTTCTTAATCCAGTATTGGCTTCGCTTGAAAGAGATTAAGGTTGCATGCAAATGTATACGTAAGCGCTGTATACGAGGCCGAGCCGCGCGTGTACGCAGGTGAGACAATAATTTTCAGCTTCACTCTCCCTTTTATTTTTCGCGCCGTATACAGGCTGCATAAAAGCGCCTATAAAAGCGACGTAGAGAGGCTGAAAAATGCGTTTAGTTGGAGCGGCTTCTCGCCACGCTCGAATAATAATGTATTTGGTGCACACGAGCTCGATTATTATTTGGCTCGATACTTCGATTCACATCTACATAGGCTTACGGTCACGGCATAATAGGAAAGTGACATATTTCGATCGACTGTATATAAGACGTATATAGCTGCTTCGCGAGCTTGATCGATACGCCTATGTGTTCGCGCGTGCGATGTGTCGCGCCGGAGGAGAAAAAATACACATCAGTCAAGCAGGCACGTATCAACTCGTCACCTGAATATAATAATGTCGAAAAGAGAAAAAAATCTCTTGGCGCTGGCCCACTATTATACATACGCGCCAAGTTCAGCGTCTCTTGTACATATATAATGATACCCGTGTGTGAAAGGCATCGAGTACGTATGTACGGTTGATCGGCACGCGTAACGAATGCTCGCTCGACTCTTCCGCCACGCGATATTATGTATCCTCTATGCATGCAGATCTGCTCTATGCCTCGCAGGAGATGCCAAATCTCTTTCGCGCTGACCCACAAAGCTGAATCCGTGCTTATAATACAAGACAATGGACACGAGCGAACATCCACGTAGCTGGCCAGATGAGGTATTATTTCAACGATGTTAGGCTAGGCCTAGGAACAGCTGTATGATTTGGCCGATTTGACCTCCATTGCAAAATCGACGTTCCGCATACGTATGGGCCCCTTAAAATAAATAATCAGCTACTTACCGCTGTCCCACGGATCTGCCTACAATCGTAAAAGTCAACTAGGCGATAATTTAGCTTTTCTCGATACTCGTCGATGTGTGGGATCGATCTCTGTGGCGACGAGCTCGGCACCGTGACATCGTTTCGTCATTTTCGGAGGCTGAAATATCGACGACGTGATAGGCGCTAATGTACACGGATCGGCACTTGATGAGTGTAATTCGTATACAAACGATCGGCCAGGCCTCGAGAGGAAAACAATCGGCCGCGCGGAGAAACAATTCCACGAGGAGTATAAAAAATTTTTTTACGACCTGCCCATTAGTTGCTGACAAAATTCAAATTCACGGAAAAATTTTGCCTCTCATCGGCTTCATATACATACAAATATACGCTTTTGTATTATAATTGTTCAATGAAAGCAGCTCGAGCTCGCGCAGGTAAGCGATAT